AAGAACCCTCCAATCAGCGTGCTCTCGCACAAATTCACTCTTACAGCATGCACTTCTAGTGGAAGTATCCAGTAGTCCCCAGAGCCGGGCTCTGTCCCCACCTGGGTGCTACTTAAATATCCCCACCTGGGTGCTACTTAAATATTTAAACGAGTTAAGAGCCTTCAGCTCGCCTTTTGTTCGGTGGCGCAGTCAAGGTCAGGTGTCAAGGTAAGGTGGCCAACTGCGAAACGTCCATCATAAAAAGAAAAAGGACATTATACATTATTTCCCCTTCAATATGGAACACAGCACATTTGCTCGGCAGAAATAAGTAGAACCCACTAGTATTTTACACTATTTTTTTCCTAGATAAATGACAATATTAAACTGCGCAAAATGCTATGCGTATGGGTTGTCAACTTATGTCAATTTATGCAGTTAGTGATTACAGTCGATAAATAATCTATCGATCCGATGATTGACCATGGGTTATGCCTAGTTAGTCCTGTACTGATAGTTGCTAGCTTATGTATGTAAAATAAATAAACAAATGCCTTCGCAATAATGGGCCAGCTCGTTTCACTTAAGCATAAAACGTAAAAATCTGTATAATAAAAATAGAAGTCGTGATGAACGAATAAAATCGTGCCTCTGTATTTCACGAATTGATTTTGATACCAGCGGCCCCACTGTCCAAAAAAAAGAAAGAACTATCACAGTTGACAAAACTGTCGACAATAACTACGTGACTATTTAAAATTTTACGAAAAATGGCAATAATGGAAACGTCATTTTACTCTGTATTGAGATAAAAAAACTTAAACGTGTTTATTCTGGACAGTAATGTACCATAATTTAATAAAAATTTTGAACTAAATTAATCCAAACATGTTTGCTTAATTGAATAACAAACATCCAAATAAAACTTTTACATTTATTTACATCGCTAGAATAAAATAATATGTAAATATGATTACATTTACGTTAAAGCAATACGTACTATGTAAATGTAATTTATTTTTATGGCGTTCTTCGTACAACATCAATAGATATTATTATGACTTTAGGAGTAATGTTTTCCGTAATTAAGTTCATTTCATTAATTTCATTCGAGAATTTATTTTCGACTTATTGAGTTTGCCCTAACGCTTATAACAGTATTTTTGTATTGAGTATTTTTATAACAGTATTTTTATATTGAGAGAAGCACTAAACATCTAAAAATGTACTCAAAAACTTGTAACCTTATTACGCAACGCAATATTACACAATACTATTTAATCTTTTAAGTAGTTTAAAAGCGTCATTTCCTTTAGACGCTTATAAAAGCTCTGCAGTGACGCAACTGTGGCACGGCAGCTACTCGTTACATCTTAACCCGGGTGCTCACTAGCTATAACCGTAACCGGTGCATGTTATGTTACTAATAATTATAGTGTATACGTGGTTCGCGACCTTGCCACCAGCGGAACACCTGCGGTTCGCAGTGAGCCGCCGAGGACCAGGTACTCATTCTAGCGAGTGAAGACCGTTTCACGCGTACATACTAGAACCTCGTTACTGTATCTGCGACGTTACACTTATAGCTCTCCATGAGTACCCGGCTTTACTTCATTAATTGTTACTGCAAAAGTGGCGTGCATGTGTCACGACAGGGGCGCGATTGTGTCACGACAGTGGCGCGCTTGTGTCACGACAGTAACGCGCATGTGTCACGACAGTGGTGCCGTGACTGCGCTTCCAAATGTTATATGAAAAGCAGTATTGGCACGGCTGCCACGCAAAAGACGCGCCACTGCAGCACTTCTTTTACTTTACGTTACAATACTGAACTACGCAAGGCCAATGCTTTCCTCGTCTTCCGATTTTTTTTAAGACATTTCTCCAATTTGCGAGTTTTATCACTACGTCCGTACGTACGTTAAACCAAGAATATTTAGTAAACTATAGTTTCTGAAATAATATTGAACCAATTTTTATAGCTAACATGACAAATGGTTCTAAAGCTGGCTAACCTATGTTATTTGTGAGAAATATACCTCCGGGTACTTTCACATGTGTCAACGAGGGTTCGTCCCCGGAGTGTTGAGTCAATAGTGCTCTTAGCTGCCGTTTGTTATGAGTGGGGATACCATGATGTTACTGTTTCTTGGGACATTAAAAGTGTTAGTTTTAAATACAGGTGACAATATTGGTACTGCATGACGAAAAATGAAATAAAACTCAAGAACATTTTATACGTCCCACTGCCGGCTTGGGTCTTTTTTCAGTTGGGAGTTTTTTCAGATTTTGGTCATAGTCTGCCACGATGTAAGTGTCATTGCCATGTTTTCCTTCACCGAAAAGCTCATTTCAAATTAAATTAAATTTCGCACATAAATTCCGAGAAACTCAAAGATGCGAGCCCGGATACGAAACCACGACCACGAAAGTTGTACCACGTTTTCGTTTAACTAAGGTAAACGACTCTTTTATGGTGAATATATACGTTTTTACAATACAGATTCCGGAGCATATTAAGATTACCATTTCTCAAGTTTAAAACTTACATTAAAAGCATTTTATTGAAATGTCTTGTTACAAAACTGTAGACCACGTGTTAGATAAAGATGTATGGAAAGCTAACGTGAGTCTAGATTCAAAATGTATTCTACATATAGCATTTAAGTTTATTTGAAAAGAGCAATCCCTACAGTTTCTTGCCCGTTCTTCTCAGGGAGGTCAGCGTAGTGAACGAGCAGTAGCTCAAAAAATTATGTTTTCAAGTGTAAAAATTTTACCTTTGGAATAAATGATTATTTGAATTTGAATTTGACCTTGAGGGGTTTAAAATGTGTCACGTCTGATAAATGAAAATTGAGCAATATTCACTAAGTACATTACATTAACATAAACGATATAAGTATAAGGAAATAGGTAGGTTTATTACTAGTTGTAGTAGTAGCGTTGTTGTAATAGTGGTGGTGGTAGTTTCGCTGCATTAGAGCGGTATTCAGACGTTATAAGTTGAAAATAAATGGCTATACTTATTTGTAAATTCATGACCATGGCGCCATACTACTCGTAACAACATACTAATGATCGTTTTACTAAAAAGGAGCGAAACATCCCCTCACCATTAACTTTCATCATTAATATCTCTGTTGTTATTTGTTTGCATCTCTAAGTCGAACAGTTAGCCTAAAAAACCAAGTCCAATAAGAAAACCACTTGTACACTTTAACTTCTTATAAATATTTTTTTTCCAATTCAATTAATAAAAATTTGATTCACTAAACGACCTAACAAGATTTTGATCCCAAAGGCGCTTTACTACTCTATTTCTGTCTTTATTTTATCCTATTTCGCAACGAAACACGGTTACCCTTCAAATACCTGTGAGCCGGAAGTGAGATCGTGAGTGTTTATCGGTAGATGTTTGAGCCAATAACGGGTCTCTCTTGACCACTATTGGCAAGGAATGAAGGAATTTCAATTACACAACTCACATGTTCGCCTTTGAGACCTATAAACGAAAATTCTAAGTTATATGAACACATTCTGTAACTCCATTCTGTGTTTTTCGAAATAATTACGATATGTGAGATAAAACATTTTTTTATTGACTTCTTTTTAGAGAGAGCATATTACGTGAGTATATAGGGTTATTTGTAAAATACTTACAACCTCACATGACTATTTTACTGACATCTTACAACAGCTTTTGTTACATGACTTATGAGTTACAAACACAATACAAACTACCTTTTTACAAAATAAATTTATCAAAATGTTAATGCAAATGGCCGCGACAGCTGAGAATATGGACCTAATTTATTACAATATTATGTTTAGCTAATAAAATGGCGCCGTGGTGTGATAAGGCCACATCAGCAAAATGACAACTTTTTAGCAGAGCGGTTCAATGATTCTTCGAACGAAATTAATCGATAACTTTTTTTATGCTTCAATATTAGTTATCATCAACTTTTGACAAGTATTACTGTCCAATGTGGAAAAATATAGAAAAAATATTTTTTTTTTCAAAACAAAAATGTTTCCATGACTCTACAATAGCCATACACTGAAACTGGGTAACCAAAATGGTCTCAAATACATTAAAAAACCTTGTTTTAGTAAGTTTTGAATAAGGTGACAAATTATAATCTACTAGAACCGAGCAAGATTGCTATAAAATAGTTATAAAAATTTTGTATGCCGCAAGGGATATAACAGTTATTTATTTAACAGCATTCATTCGTGTAACGTAACTTGTACATCACAAAAAAAATAAATAATTTTAAAATTTATGTATGACGAAATTGTTTTTTAATCTTCAGGTGACAGCCCTGTTGGCATTGAGTGCTGGAGCCGCTTTTGCCAGCACTGGAGCCCTGTACGTCACAGAACGACTTCGGCTGGGGCCTCGTGGTGGCACTCAGCTAGTGGTTCGGGTTGCAGTTAATACACCTGGAAGAAAGAATATTACTGGTAAGTCAATACTCTTCATTCTTTACTTACATAAGCTCGCGCCCTAGTCCCACAGGAGGACTGAATCCTGACACAACTCTTGAGCCTCACATACATCAGCTACCCTTTTCATACAACTTCTTCTTCTTCTTTCTTATTCTATATTACCTCAAACTTAAATAAATCTTCATAGGTAAGCAAATTACACTCGAAATCGTGACCTTGTAATTAAGTTTATGAATGTCAGGATACACCAACATGATATCCATTTATTATTTGTGAAATTACTCCACTAGTTTGTTGTAATTACATTTTGTTAATACAAAGATCGAACACTTATAAAAATATCCTTCAATCCAGCCGGATTCAAATTAGCATCTTCCAGCAAAACCGTGCCGGACGCTATATCTACTAAGCCATCGAACGAACTGGCGAACCTTACGAATTTTTCTATGTGCTTGTTACAGATGTTTGTTTTTTGTTTTTAACGACTTTTATGCCGTAGCACCATGAAGAAATAGATTTCTTACAGTAAATTGCTCTAACTGCTCGTTTACGCCGCAGGGCAAAAATCAAAAGTGTGAAAATAGCCATCATCATAGAATATCTGTACCCATATATAAAGATCTAGAATGCGTTATAAGTTTTTATAGGCTGTATAGTGGCTTGACAGAATGATAACGATAAACACGTAGTGATATCACAAATACCCTCCTTGAATACTGTTGGTTTGGTTCGTGCCAAAGTTGGGACGTTTTTTTATCCGGTCTGCCGATACGAATCCCCACTGATAGCTACTGCATACTTTAAACCAACCGCAAAATGGCGGCTAACTTATTTTGCAAATTAGAAAATTACTCAGTTTAAATGCAAAATTTGCTAATGAAAATTGCTATTCTGCATTGCTACATAAGAAGACCCCGTATTACCAACTAAAAAATTCTAATTAAAATGCAATAATACACCACAAATCCTACACATAAAAAGCACAAATGATTTTTTTTATATACGTGGATAAGTATGATAATATATTCTGTTTGGCGATTCTAGTTTACCATGAAATAATTATTTTTTTTACAACGTCAAGTGACGGGACTACACGCCTAAGCTACATGCCTATTCATAACAGTTACAATGCCACTCAGAGCTATAAATTGCAAAGATCGGAGGGGCACTACCACTGCGCCCATCACCCTGAGATATAAGGTTGACAAGTTCCATGCTCTACAAAACCGGTACGCAGGAATGTTGACATTACTGCTTGGCGGCAGAAATAGCGTGAGTTTGGGTGTAGTTTGTGGTTGTCTATGTGTGTCCATGGCACCCGCGACACAGGGTTACCGTAGTGCTTGCTATGTTAAGTGTGTGCGTTATTATTATTATTATTAATACTAATAATATGATATAAATCTAGTTTAGACTCTCGCCTCTCCCAAGGCCTAAAACATTACTTTAAATTTTTAAATTTTTATTATTATTATCACAAAGAGCTCTACTACTTCTGAAATATTTATATGAGTTGTTGTTGTTGATAATGGTGATTATGTAGTATATGAGAGACATGAAAAAAGATGGTGTAGATCACAAACTGATCACAAACTATCACCTCAATGCATTCGTAACTCCGAAATCTGAAAGTCGTTGTTTTAATTTCAAACTAACAAAAAAAACAATAAGCGTTAGCACCAAAAATGATTAAAAATCTGTTCACAAGTAATCCGTGGAGCAAAATGTTTTAATGAACTTGTAGAATGAATTCTTAGCTGAGGGCCTGCCGGCATAATTGTGAAATTAAACGCTCTGGAAGTTTTGCGTTAACAAGGGGGATCAGTCGGATTTTTTATGCCAAGATCTGTATTAACATATTTAATAATTACTTCATAACATGATAAAACACGTTTTATCTCGTTCTCCAGATAAGTATTCGCCGCTTTAATATTAAAACCTTCTATGTCCACTTTTTAAATATTTGGGTCAATGATTAGATTACTTTTCTGTGCCTAATTTCGGTGGCAATTTTTATTATTTAAATATTCGGATACATTATCGAAAAATATTCAATAATATTACAGGATTCTACACTCGAATGTTAAATAAAACTTCATGATACTATTCTACAATATTCAAATAATAAAAATTGCCATCGAAATTGGGTAGAGAAAACTAATCTAAAAATTAACCTTTAATAATCGGTTAGACACATAGACCGTGAGGCTTAGAAATTTATCATTGGATATCTCTGAAATCACAGTATATGTTTGTGGTTTTAAGAAGTACCTAATAGATTGAACTTTTGTGCACGTAATAAAACTGCAAGAAATATTAGACACACGAGGTTTTACAGTGAGGTGGCGATATACATGAAGACTGACTCTCTTCTTAAAGAAATCTAGTGCTCAGTTATAACATTAATAATGGTAAAATACCCATTGCACATTTTCGGACAAACAGCTATATAAATATCGCACTGCTATTACAATAGTGTTCTAACTCGAATGTTGCCTCCTTCAAATCATCTTTTAAGAAATTTTTATTATTTTCTCTGGTGTCTAACAGCCCTGGCAGTCGTGCTGTGCTTTCTTGACATTTTACTGCTAACTTTAATACACCATTTACAAATACATGAGTTAAATACACAATACACGCTCAATCAGTTTTGGTATTCCTACTACTATCCTACCGTAAACGTACACCCATTTTTATTGCATGCTTTTTACTTTTTGGTTTGCATTTAAGTTTTGATTTACGCCTAACTATGTATATACTATTTTTTTAAATTATTTTATTTGCTTGGACGAAGCGACATTATCCTTGTTATTTATTCGGCTTCACTGAAAACTAGCGTAACAAGGTGTTTTCACACGTCTTGTTACAAAAAGCTGAATGGAGACCATTTGGGTAACTTTTAAATGTATTTCTTTTATTTTGTATTTTATCATAAGATTATTTTATTTTTGTTATCATTCTGTTATATATAATTTGTCATAAATTTACCAAATAAACTACTTTTCTTTCTTTCAATATGTGAAAATAAATGTTATGTCATTATTTTGACATCTTAGTCAAATTAGAGATGTTACTACTAGTTACTAAGACATGGCACATATCTACGGCATTTCGGTTGGCAGTCATCATCATCACCATCAACCCATTTACACATTCCACTGCTAGGCACCGGCTCTCCTCTCAGGCGAGGGTTTTAGGCCATAATCCGCCACGCTGGCCTAAAGCGAGTTGGGGACGTCACACGTTTTCCGAGTTTCATAACGATGTTTTCCTTCACCGAAAAGCTCATGGTAAATTTAAAATTATGTTTCGCACTTAAATTCTGAGAAACTTAGAGGTGCGACCCCGGATTCGAACCCACGGCCTCTGCTCGAGAGGCAGTAGTCAAACCATTGGGCTACCACGGAGTACCGGTTAATAATAGGCCTTATCAATTACACGTACGAGTGGTTATTGCTTTAATAAACATTGTATTTTGATTACACGATTTAATAACCGTATTTCACAGTACCGTAAAGTGACGTAATAATGAAATGATTTTCTTTTACAAATTGTTTTTCTACTGCTCATTACATAAAATTATTTTAATTCTACAACATGCGTCCCAAAATATATATTTTATTGCTCAGTTTCTCTGGTAAGTTGTTTGGAATATATATATTTTTAACATAAAATAATTTTACTTCTATCTCGCCTGATGGAAAGTGACGATGAGTTCATCTAGTCTCCTTATGATGAAAAATTGGCTACATTTAGTTTAATCTGATTTTAATCGACTCTCAAGGGACCAACTCGGGTTGCATTTATTCATTACTCAGCCGGATATGGAATTTAAGCCCAGATCAAAATACCCAAAATAAAGAGGCATTCGTTTATTTGCTAGTATTCTTGGTGTCGTATCAACGTATCGAATAGAGACAAGACAAGTATATAAGCTGCGCGGCTTGCATGTGTGTCCGTATAGGACGCCCACATTCGCAAAATCATTGCATGGCGCTGGTCGTCTAACGCGCCTTTCATTATTATATGAATGTGTGCGTCCGTACACCGCACGCAGCGAAATTGCACACATACAAGCCGCGTTGCTACGTTTTTATAGAGTTAGCATACTTCTTTTGTCTCTATATATATACGCTACACTACGCTACTATGTTTCGGGTAACAGAATCGCGGAATCAGCTAGAGTCGATCAGAAAAAGCTTTACGTCCATGTAATAAGAGCGAAAAAGGTCGAGAGGAAGCGAAACGCTTTTTTGCCCTTGTTATATGAATATAATTCGTTTTCTGCCACATTACAAAATTGAAGTGGCAGCCGATGGTGTCAAAAAGTTCTCGAGTGGTGACGCGTACCGGAAGACGCAACGTAGGTAAATCACTCACAAGGTAGACCGATGACCTGGTAAAGGGAATCCATTGTATGCAAGCAGTAACGCAAGACGAGTCGTTGTGGCGATCTTTGTGGGAGGCCAATCTCCAGCAGTGGATGTCTTTCGGCCGAAATTTCGATTTCGTATCGATAAGTGTAGTCTACAAATGTGTGGCGAACTTTGTGTGTTGTCTCAATGAATTTCTTGGGCACACAAGTTGCAGTGTAGCTTGTGGCAGAGTTCAGAACTCTATGCTAATACGCACTACGCACAAGTCGACTATAGTTTGAACTGTGAACATATATGACATCATCGTTAAATAATTTGCACATTCCGCATAAAAGTACTGGCAGATTGTCATCTAAGGTGCGCCAGACATACAGGGAATGCTAGTAGAAGAAGCGAAAGAGGGATATCATCATCTTAGGAAATATTATGTAGTACTCAATTAGGACATAGATGGGCCATTCTCATTTCTGCAATTTTCTTTTGGGCATATGTATTAAAAAACTATATACTTGTATTATTACTTAGTCAATTCCTATTTAAAATATTAATATAATCGAGGTAATTTATTTTAATATGATTTTTATTTATATTTACACAATATAAACATTTATTTAAATCATCATTAAGAAAGTGACGAAAATGTCACTTCCATGTCGTGTGCTAAGTCCATTTACAATGATACAAATTAAATTTAAATATATTTATTTTTATAAAATAAACTAGTCTATATTTTTTACGATAATACGTTTCTACGTATATAATAAACTTTCTAAAAAAATACTAAATAATTACCACATAAATAAAAAAATGGATACAAAATATTTCATAACGTTTGTGCATGAAAAAATTGTCATTGTGTAGTGTTTTTGTAAATTACATTTTATTTAAATTGTTAAACTATTTTTATGTTATAAAGCTAAATATTTCATCATTATTTTACCATGGACCATGATAGACTAACAAGGCCCATTACCTTTAGTACTCCAGGAATAAAAATTAGATAATATGAAAATGTCACATCATAACTTATTTTGCATTTTCCCAAAAGGTAAAAATTTTGTGTTGAGCACTTTTATTCTAAAGGTGCGAAGAAAAGTAAAGGTGTTAAGTAAATAATATTGATTATAAAAACTGTTATTAGAAATAATGGCACCGATGTGTCCTGATATAAATAAAGTGTATACAATATAAATAAATACGTAAATAAAGATAATAAAGTAAAAAATACGTTTTCTTCTACAGTAAACCATACATGCTTCATTAAAATTAATCTAATATGTCATTACCATGGATTTGTGTCACTTCCTTGAAGTCGTGTTTTCTTTTTTCCTTTTTTTCATGAAAACTTCTTTAAGTGAAACATATTGTAGGATACGGTACCATTCATTTGAGACTACATTGTTTTTTTTTATTATTTTAAGTCCGTTTTGAGAATGGCCCAGATGTGATCGTATATATATATTTGTATTTTATTTTTGAAAAAAAATGTAAATTTTGATGTACACGGTGCCACACATTCCTACCACCACACCAGACTCTATATGGGACGGCTGCGTGACGGCGGAAGCGGAGGCAATTGACGGGCTGAACAAATCATGAGACTGGTGGTAATCCAATTCCTGGCCATGGCAGTTGCAGTCAGGGCTTTAAATCGCTAAGAACTGAGAGCACTACCACCGCGCCGCGCGTTAACAAATTCCATGTCCCTGTAATTTCGCCAGCACCTTTACCCTTCAAACCGAAACGCAGCAACGATCACATTACCGCTTGGCGGCAAAAATAAGTAAGGCGGCACTTCTCTGAGCAAACTCTTTCACAGGGAGCTCTACTGCTAAGTGCAATGTCGTTTCATAAACGTACCATTAATGTTTCAGGCTTACTTCTAAAAGAAAACAATGCTCATTACACCTTTACCACCAAGCACAGAATGAGACGCTTAATAAGATATTTGATTCGAGAGCTTCTAGTTGATGCTGAGACTAGAATCAATAAGCTGGATCACATTGCCAAATATGTACAACTAAGGGACCCAAATCCTATATTGACGGATCAAATGTTCACTGCAAGAAAAAAATTTCATCATATGATATTGGTGTTCGAAAACACTCAGGAACATTTAAAAAACTACACTCATGAAATAGTAAACAAATTAGGCCAATTATCTACCAAAACGAAGGGAAAACTGTGTTTCCACAACCAATAGGTTTTTTCGTTCATAACGAGAAATTCACATTGTAAACAGGAAGAAGTCGTTATACTGCGAAAACCAATTAGGAGCGATGGCACCCGGGCTCTGCCGGTGCGTAGCGTCGTTGCAACGCTATGATTTCAACGCACCGAGCGCCAAAGTGATGTCGCAACGTGTCACCGCTTACTTAGGGCGATGCTACACTGGCATTAGATTGTCGCAGCGCTTTGATTTCAACGTACTTTGTTGCTTACGTTGCGTTGTTCTGATTTATATGTATACAATACATCGTCGCGTCGTCGCAACGTCAACGCAAAGCATCATGTGGCATCGCGCTATCTGGAATTTTTACAGAAAATGACTTAACTTTATTAAGAAAACGCGATAGGAAGGCGAGTGTGTGACTGAAATGTGGTATCATCTGTTACGAATTAACAACATTGACTACCATAGTATTTGTAAGAAATATTCGTCCCCGAAATTGCAATTGCACTTATTTCAAAGTAAATTTTTGTGAAATAATTGTTTTTTCCCAATATAACGACCATTTAATATTTAGTAGGTTTACCTATTAAGTCGATTTTATCATGTTTATCCCCGGTCGCAATATCTAATAATAACGCAAGGCGAAAGTATTAAGCGTATAGAACGAATAGTAGGTACTCGTACCTATTGTTTGTCGAGCCGAAAGTCTTCTGCGCTCTACTTTTGGTACTTAAAAGGCCTCATGCTTCGAACTTACATAACACATATTTTTAATCTCTTAATTTTTTATACGATATTGTATGTAGTCTTACTCAGAAATATTCGACACAAAAGTTATTTGTTATGCAATGCTGCAAAGTTGTCGTTTGACGCAAGTGCTTATCGAAACCTAAACAAGCGAAGGTTGCTAAGATTCAAAAATAGAATCCTGAGCGTAGCGAGGGTATCAGGGGAAGCGGAAAACAACTTTGCTGCCGAGCGAAACACATACTTTTTCACCTCACTATAGCGAGGAAAATGGTAGACGAAAGAACAGTCGAACCATAAGAAATCAGTTATCGTTGTCAATGTGATGACAACAATAATAAAAAAAATATACCAACGGATTTATATTACTTAAATAATGTACAAAAAATCGTTGTCATTATGTTTTTTTTCTTCGAAAGAAAATGTTAGGTGCACCCTTAGACTATGGAAACTTTTTTCCATCCTCTAAGGGTGCACCTCTGTAATGCTAGTGAGGTGAAAATGCTTTATTTTTATTACTGTTGTCATTAAATTGACAACAATAACTGATTTCTTACATTTCAAATGTTTTTCTTTCATCTACCAGTGCATTTGAAAGTTCGAAAAAATAATTTCCTATAAATATATAAGATATAATATTTTATTTTATTTATTACAGCAAATAGCTAGAATGGTAAAAATTAAACAGCTTGCTAAAGAAGTTGATAACTCGATTCAGATGGCTTTAGATCACACAAACGTCGACCCAAGTGGAGCCATGTTTGGAAAAAGACGTATGATTCTTCAGACAATAGAGAAAACACACCGACAGCAAATATCCAATAAGACAGCTAAACGGACTACACCAATTAGTTTGCAAGAGATTTACAAAGAAAAAATGCGATTGAACTTTAGTAAACAGGAATTAATAAGAAAGAAAAAACTGTGGAACATACACGATTAATTTTCATTTCATTCATTTTTCAGCCCTGTGTTACCAACTGCTGGGAATAGGCCTCCTTTCCCTCCTGCCAAACTTTCCGGTCCTGTGCACTCTAAGTGGCACTTCATATGGCTATTTGGATTTACTTATTGGCAAATATGTCAATATTTACCAAATAATCACTAAAGTATTAGCCCTGTCTGCCTATTCGACAAATACAGCAAACATCAAAGAAGTCAAATAGGCAAATAAGAAAATCCTCACTATGGTTATTTTCATTATTTTATGTGTAGACGGGCTTATTGTGACGATGTGACCTCCTTCTATCGTAATCCCACCTTTTTATCACATTTTCTCTGGTTCCTGGCCACTTGTTTTCAAATTTTGAATCGTTCTTTAATTCCTTTGCCTCGCCATTCTCATTTTGTTTTGTTCCGTCGTCAGTCTCTGCTCACTCGCTGAAGCGAGCAGTGCTGGTCTTCAGATTTTGACCCGTTTACTAGTTACCAAAAATCTGTAAAAAATTAAATATTTAAGAGATCACAAAAAACTTTAAAATATTTTTTAAAACTCGCTAAGCAAGATGTGTGGAGGCTGCGGAGGCTACATTACAATCTACAGGACATGTTTAAAAAATTTTTAGTGTTTGTCTGTATGTCAAATATTTTTCAACGTACAACAAATACCCGATAGCGAATACAAACAGCCATGTGAAGTACCACCATCCGGTATAAGTTTTGTCCGCGAATTTATTATGTCGTCGACCTAGCGTGCAACTGGATGACCCGGATTTCTTGGGCCTGTCTTTGGCCGTCACTCCGTCAAAGCTTTACTCCAGCAGCCATCACCTCGTCTAACCAGATGCCCTGGTCTACAAGATGGTCCTCAACATCTTAAACTGTCGTCTGAAGTCGGATTTCCGTGTTTCGAATTTTATCGAGAAATGTGATACCGAGCATGGCGCGCTCCATCGCCCTCTGTGCAACTCGTATTCGGTGCACAGTTTCCTTAGTAAGCGTTCACATTTGTGCACCATATGTCATTGTTATGTGTGTGTAGTAGTAGTGTAGTGGTGGGACACACTGGTTAAAAAGACGGGTCTTCAGACACTGTGATATCATTTCTGGCCGCAAGACTTTTCCAGTTTTCCGAAAACTATCCACTAAATTTTGATTCTCCTTGCGATCGATGCGATGTTCCAACTATAACAATTTTATTTGAGATTCTAGAAGTCTTCAACATGTACATGTTCACATTAAAAGAAAAACAAATCCCATTTGCTGTTTGTCTGCACTATGAAAATGCGGTAAACCAATGTATTATAATACAACTTTTGCAAGAAAACAACTCCAAACAATCTGCCTAACTTTACAATAGAGTATTACATATTTCATAACATTTTACAAATTTATCCAATGAATTATGACTATAAAACGATTTAATAATATATCTACAATTATAATTAAACTGTGACAAAAGTGATTCTTTTTTAAATATACCTGTATAATCCGTGGAATCGACTGTTAACCAAAGTCATTCGAATGAATAAAAAGGGTTATAGCTCAGAGACCGCATTTGTGTGTGGTGTCCCCAGACAATGGTACATCTTTTGGCGTGGCCTGCGTGTAGGGACACCTGCACACGCGAGGGTGCGTACAATCTCACTGATAATGCTGTGTCAGTAGCTAAGTACTGGTTCTCACAAATATACTCCCGGACACATAATTCGAACCACCTTAAATTTTCAATATTAAATGTCCTTAGCTGATACAATGCTTGATTGATCAAGAACTTTCATTTCCTTAAGTCCTTATTGAAAATTTGGATTTAAAAAACCGGAGAAAACTTTTTCTTCGGCGATAACTATGTTTTTACATTTAAGGATAAAAATGCAAGGTGGCGAATTATGTGTCCGGGAGTGTATAAACGTCAGACTCGACTCGTTAACAAGACGATATGAATGAATGAATGAATGACACACACCCAGACATAAATAAACCATTATATAAACATTCTCTCACAGCATGTGCCATCTTACATTTTAACTATTGTTAAAAAAAATACTACGCAACACTTAGTATTATATAAAAAAAACTTAAAGGGAGTTTCGAACCCAAACTTATAAACATAAGTTTATATTTTTTAAAAGCACGCCATTGCTTATTTCATTTTCCCGGTAACTGCATATCTTTCTAATACAAAAATGTCAAATGTGGCAATTAGGAGTTAAGAGGGAAAAGATAAAAAATATCGCGAAAAATCATTTAGCAGGCCTTGTGAAAAAGCTCGGTCAGGGAAGTACTGCCACGTTATCTGTTTTTGCCGTCAAGTAATGATGTGAGCGTGACTGTGGTCCGATTTTAAAGCTAGATCAGTGTGCTCATTACATTACAGGCATATGTACTTGTCAAGTTTATTAAGTTTATCAAGTTTCAAGTTTATTGTAAATTTTATAATAAACCTGGTGCACCAAAATATTCAAGGCATGAAAGGCAAAGAGCTAGAAATAGAATTATTTATTAACTGTAACAATATTGATATTCTTTGTATTACTGAACACCACTTTCTATCACAACATCAGTTCATGTTTAGCTTCAACAATCACCAGGTGGCTAGTTCGTTCAGCAGAGAAAAAGCTATTCACGGCGGCTCTTTAATTCTTATTAAAAATAATTTAAAATTTAAAGAACGTAAAGATATTGTGAGCCTATCTATTGAGCGGACTATAGAGATATCCTGCATAGAGCTTGAACGGCTTGTTATATTAAGCGTGTACAGACCCCCTCATTCATCTTACGAACTATTTGAAAAAAGATTAGATGAAGTTTTAGCCAAATTAAATAATATAAATAAATATATTGCTGTTTGTGGTGACTTCAATGTTAACTTATTAGAAGATTCCAGTGCTAGCAGTAGGCTCATATCATTTTTCCAATGTTATAACCTTGTGAATCTTTTTTTGGTGCCTACTAGAATAACTTCTACTACTGCCACTTGTTTAGACAACATTTATACCAACGCCGTACCTAGTAATAAATCTATTATAAATAAATTAACTTCAGATCACTGCGGTCAATTGGCCACTTTTAATATAACTGTTGACAAAATGCCGAAAAAGGATATCACATGTGTTCCGATAAATAATGGTCGACTTAAAGCTTATAGAAATAACGTAATGCTTAAACTAACTGACATTCCGTACGTTAACGATCCCAATAAATTGTATAATTCAGTTTTCAACATAGTGAAAAGTGAACGTGATAATGTTTTTAAGTCCAAAATCATAACTATTAATAATTCATTGAAATTTAGTGAATGGGCGACTGTGGGAATTCACAAAAGTAGACAAAGGCTGTATGATCTTTACGATGAAAGAACTTATAACACTAGTAACAGTTTTAATGATTTTGTTAGGAAATATTCGAAAATGTTTAAACGTGTTTGTGTGGCAGCCAAAGCAATGTTTATTAATAATAAAATAAAAAGCAGCGCGAATGTAGTAAAAACGACTTGGAATATTATAAATAGCGAAACTGGAAGGGTCAAACCTCGTAACTTAGATTTTCAACTAAGATTTAATGACAAAATTGTAAACACAGACGCAGAAGTTGCTAAAATATTTGAAAATTTTTTTACCAACATTCCAATTTTGACTACTAATTCGTTAAATTCATCTCCCACGGCCGCTGAATCCTTACTAAAAGAAAATAATGCAGTTAGTATCACTAATTTAAGGTTCCGTCATGTATTTCCAAACGATATTGTTAAGGCCTTTAAGTCTATAAATATAAAAAATACTGCTGATCTTGATGGTCTTTCAGTCAGAGTAATTAGTTCTATAGTTGATTGTATTGCGCCTTACTTAGCCTGTGTCTTTAATAAATGTGTTGATGATGGTGTCTTTCCTGACCTCATGAAGCAAAGTAAAGTTATTCCACTTTTCAAATCTGGTAGTATTTCTGACCCCACCAATTTCAGACCTATATCAATACTACCAACTCTCAGTAAAATATTTGAAAAAATTATTCTAAATCAGATGTGTGCACATTTTTATAGTAATAATTTAATGTCTCCTAAACAATTTGGTTTCACTCGGGGTCGCTCTACAACCGATGCTGGTGTAGAGTTGATTAATCATATATTTGATGCATGGGAAGTCTCACATGATGCTATTGGTGTATTCTGTGACCTTTCCAAGGCTTTTGATTGTGTGCACCATGATACACTGGTCAGGAAACTTCGCCATTATGGTGTGGCGGGACGTGATCTCGACCTTCTTAAATCGTATTTGCGTGGTAGGGTACAGAGGGTCGATGTTAACGGTACGAGATCGTCAGGGTCTGTAATTAGCATGGGTGTCCCTCAAGGTTCAATTCTAGGCCCATTTTTGTTTTTAGTTTATATTAATGATTTACCTAGCCTTATGGAGGGTATAAAACATGAGATAGTATTGTTTGCTGATGATACTTCCTTATTATTTAAAGTTAAAAGGCACCAATGTTCCTATGACGATGTGAACAATGCTATATCTAAAGTAGTTGATTGGTTTGCTGTTAATAACCTACTTCTTAATGAGAAAAAAACAAATTGTGTGAAATTTACATTACCCAATGTTAGAGAGACGGTTACAAACATTGTAGTTAGAAACGAAAAATTGAATCTTGTGGATACAGTTGTATTTCTAGGTATAACGTTAGATGCTAAATTGCAATGGGGTCCTCATATAAGTAAGTTGTCAAAACGGCTCAGCTCTGCAGTGTACGCGATTAAAAAAATAAGGAAACTTTCAGACGTCGAAACCGCTAGATTGGTTTACTTCAGCTACTTTCACAGTCTAATGACATACGGCATTTTGCTTTGGGGTAATGCCGCCGATATCAATAGAATCTTTGTCCTGCAGAAACGTGCAGTTAGGGCAATTTACAATCTGGGCCCCAAAGTATCTTTGAGAGATAAGTTTAAGGAAATTAACATTCTTACACTAGCCTCACAATACATTTATGAAAATATAATTTATGTTAAAAGGAATAGTAATTTCTTTATGAAAAATAGTGACAGACATAACATTAATACGAGGAATAAAAATAAACTAGCTTTTCTTGATAGTCGTCTTCACAAAGTCAAACAATCATTTAAGGGGCAATGTATACGCTTCTATAACAAGATTCCGGTTGATATACAAAATTTGCCTTTCACGAGGTTTAAAACTATAGTGAAACAAAAACTTTATACTAAAGGTTATTATACAACTTCTGCGTACTTGGATGACAAAAATCCGTGGTAGTAACCCGTTTAGCTCATGGAGGTAGTCTCAATCTGATGTTTCAAATAAAAAAATATTGTAAATGTTATTTACAAAGAGCAACCCCTAGAGTTTCTTGCTCATTCTTCTCAGGGGAATCTGCCTTACGAATGAGCGGTAGAGTTTAACCATTGTGACGATTTCAAGTGTAATAATGCTTACCTATGAAATAAAGATTATTTTGATTTTGATTTTGATTTTGAAGTTATGTCTGTCCCAACGGACATAGATAGACGTTGGTTATAGGCACTTGCTTTACAGCGAAGCAATCCTTTTATAATATTGAATGAATGGATTTTTCTAAGTGTTTGATCTTTGTTTTTGATTATTATAACAAACTAGTGGAGAAAATTCCTTATAGACTACTATACCAAAATACAATTATAGCGACATCTCTAGTCAGCGATGGTAGCTGCAAAGGTAACTCTAAGGATACTGCGTGATGAAATAAATGACTCACAGATGGCGCTACGACGAAAAGCCTTTAAAAACAAAAAACAAAGATCTGCAAGAAGTACATAGAAAAATTGGTAAGGTCTGCTGATGCGTTCCGTAGCTTAATTGGCAGAGCATCTGCCACGGATTGCTTGAGGGTGCTAGTTCGGAATTTTTCCAAGTGTTTTCAATCAAATCCAAAAATGTTGGAATGTTTCAATCTTTGTTATTCATAATTATAGCAAACTAATTAGTAGAGTGGTTCAATCATGCTACTAAAACATCGTGTCATTTAATAAACTTAAAAATAATGGCTATAAGTAGCTCAGAGAAATAGCAATTTTCTGACAATTAGATATAATAACTCGTACATATTTCGACAACTGAAGAACAGATGCTTGAATTGCCTTGAATAGTGACCACGAGCCAAAAGACCCAGTGCACAATAAATTAACTGATAACCAAACTGAAACTGAAAGTGACAAGCATCTGGTAATTGTAAACATTAAAATTGTAGCGCGCGAATTGACTTTTGTCTCTCATACTTTTGCAGGTAGATCGTCCAACTCGTTATCGTTTGTGTGGTACTACTATTTAAAAATTTTATTAAAAAAATCTAATTTTTTATTGAATTGGTATTCAATTATTTTTTATGTGAAATTACTCCACTAGTTTGTTATAATTATTAATGCAAAGATCGAACACTTAAAAAAAATTCCTTCGATCCGGCCGGAATCGAATAGACCGCAAACTAGCAAACCGTGTCAGACGCCATGCCAACTAAGCCACAGAACGAACCAGCGGACCTCACGAATTTCTCTGTGAGTTTGTTTGTGGGATCTTTGGATTTAGTTTTCAACAACTTTTAACCGTAGCGCCATCTATGAGAAATGTAAAATTACTGCTACCAGACCCGGCTAGAGATTTCGCTATTCACTGTATTTAATTTTTTAATGTATTGATATTCAATTATTTTTTGTGAAATTACTCTTAAATTACTATTAAAAATTTCTTCAATTTTATCATCATCTGGTAATTTAATGATTATATTTCGATCCTATTTTTACACTGAACATTTTTCTTTCCAGTTGAAGTGACCGGCTATAGTGCAGATAACTGCTCAGTGTCGTACACGTCATTCAACAACGAGACTTTAGTCGGCTCAGTGATTCGATCAGCCAGCGTGCTGGTCCTGCCTGAAGGACTGCATAGGAGCGATACGCAAAGCGCCTACTTCTGTGCTAATGGTAAAAATTACTTTCTTCTAAAGGGAATCACGTCTTATTGACGAGCCATTCAGAAAAAGCATGGAGATAATGCAATAAGAGTGAAGAAGACGTTGTACATTGTACTTGGGCTTTATTTTTCTGACTAGCCCATGTTGATTTCGGATCTGTGAGTGTGGTAACTCCTTAATGCCTCTGTCAGCTCTCTATTGAGAGAAACTACCACCCAATCGCTGTTGGTGGTAGTCTGTATCCTTGCTAAGTTTGTGAAATTATCATTTAAAAAATGATTAAAATTAAGTTTTATTGTATGTGGTGTCCAAGGTTTAAAGATTCCAGGAACGAAATTGGTTGGAAATTGTTTGTGCTTAAATAGGAGGGTTGTAAAATTTCCCATAGTCGTAAGTTTTTTTTATAATATCAAGTGACAGGACGGACAAGTCGTGCGCTCTATGGCAACACGCCTGTCCATAACAGTTGCATTACCCCTCAGAACTTTAAATTGCAAAAATTTGAGGGACACTGCCACTGCGCCCGTCACTATGAGACGTAAGTTGACAAGTCTCATGTGCCTGTAATGACACCAGCACCCTTCAAAACCAGAAAGCAGTAATGCTAACTTTACAGCTTGGCGGCAGTAATAGGTAAGTAAGAAGTACAACAAAAAAGTATTTTGTATTATGAAAGTAGTTTATAATATTATTATAATAAGGCATAACTAAAATAGTTTTATTCTTATTCTCAATTCTTAAGATTTCAAACTCAAAAGAGGAAACAAAGAAATAAAAGGTCATCCCACCTACTCAGAAAGTCGCTTTCGGCGGCGCAGCTTCTGCTTTGTGGGGACAAAATCACTTTTCACATTTCTTATGAAATAATGTAATTTTAATTTAGAGTATGAATTTAGAATCTGAACAATACACGGAAAGAAGAATGTTGTTTAAAAAAAAGTTGTCGATTGGTCTGGCCATGACTATGTTTACATGTTCAAAATGGGGTCAAAATGACAATATAATTTATTGTTCGACGAGATAGGTTTTCATAAGGCGGTGGTACATCACCAAAAGTCTTGTCAGGCTTGGTGTCTAGGTTGTTAATGCGTGTTCTAGTTTTTCTGTTAAATTTCCAGATCTTTTTACAAGAAAACCTTGCACAATACTAACTCATGGGCTACACTGTAAAAATTGGACTATTGCACAGGGCAAAAATTTTTAGTACAGACGGCAGTACATCAAGCTACACATTAACGCATCCTGTTCTATTGCACTAGAGACGATATTCGAACAAAAGTATATAGCTTGATATGTGATGACTTGCCTGTATGACAAAAATCAAGTGTTGCTTGACCATTAGTGATGCACCCCGAGATGAACGTTTTAAAATCGTCTTATTTGTTATTTTCCTTTTTGTTTTTACTGTTTATGTCCCCAGTGACCTAACCTACTATTACATTAAAATGGGTTCCCAGGTATGATCAATATGCTGGCAGCATTACCTCTCTGGCCTTATAAATATTAAATTTCTGGTCTCCCATGGTCCGTTCAATATATACTAGGACTTTATGAATAAAATTTAAATCTGAAACTTCGAATCGTCTCGTTTTCTAAACGTATCTTTGTAAATTTAAGCAGTTTTCAAACATCTTTACTTACATTACAGAACATCTAGCGGTGTCGTCTAGAGGATCCTGGGAGTGGCAATGGGTGGCAGCTCCTCGCAACCGTGCAGGCCTGGTACTCGAACTGAGAGCAAAAGGTGCAGCCCATGTGGCGTTGTCTTCCATAAGAGAACCTTCTGATGATATGTACAGAGTCGTCTTTGAAAGAACCCGAGTTTGGATTGCTAAAGGAAAACACGGTAAGGGCAATACAAATACTAACTTATTCAAAGACATTTTAAACTCCCTCT